ATATGTATTAGTATTTAATTAAGTTATTCATGCTAAGACTATGATTAAAATTATTCAGTCGTTGTACTCATATACACTTTTTTATAATAGGATAAAATTTCAAACTACCTATCCGATATCATAAATTCTTTCACCAATATTAAGAATGGACCTCCAAGGACTACCTTATTCCTTTATAATAAAAGGCATAGGTTGTTTATTATTCCGTTATAATAAAGGGGCTTTTCATGGAAAAAAATTAGGTAAGCGGCAAAAAAAATATAGATCGGATTTATAAAGGAAGTAGGATATTTTTAGATCATATAGGATATTTTCTATGTCAGTTGTATTGGCGCCTCATTCGTAAAATATTGAACTAGGTGGGTTTAAATGGGATTATTTAATTTAAGATAATAAAGACTTAGAATTAAGAATTATAAAATTTCATAACATTTAATGGTAGGCAAAGACGCGCTCATATAAAGTAGGTAGCATGGAATAATTGGAATAATTAAAAATATGTTTAAAAGAGTATAATTATATGTACGCTTGATAGTTTTGTTGATGTGTACGCACTCTTACCTGTCCATTACGGCAGGTGTAAAACAACAGTATTGGCACTGTGATGGTTTAAAAGCTAAAAGCCACTATGTAGTAACAATGGGGTGACGATAAGGTTATCTGTATGTATTTTTCCTCACTATTATCTCGAATTATTGTTTTTATAGCTTCCGTAATTAAAATAATATATTACTCTATATATGCGTTATGGCATTGATTAGCCACCAGGAGCCAACCTTTACAATTCTTATAATATAACCCTATGGTAACATTAATGTGTTGGAAGAAAAAAATATACTTTTGTTAAATTATAACGCTAGTATTATAATATAAATATTACAAAAGCAATATGTGTAATTTACTAAAATACTTATAGGTATACATATATATGTATTTAGCGTTGTTTTAACTAAATTCTTCTATTTTGTAAAACGCATCGATCGATGTATTCTTATTGGAATACAACATTAATGGAACATATACAACATATTTTTAGGGTTTTGTACCTCAAAAGGAAAAAAAGGTACCCATATACGATCACTTCGTTATCCGTCTGTCTGTCTGACTGTCTGTCAAGACCCTTGTCTCAGGAGCGCGTGGAGGTATCAAGTTGAAATTAATATCAAATACTCGAGTCTGCAATCCCTTGGAGCTGTGAAAAATCAAAATTCTAAGTCAACGCATTCATAAGATACAGCCAATTTATACGGCATATTTTAGAATCATGAAAATTGCCAAAAATCAATGTCTTATCATATCACTGTATCGCACAAATAAAGGGGGAAAACCGGAAACCGTTTTGTAGTTACATTACAAAAAAAACTTATTTTAATGTTTTATGCTACGGAGTCCTCGGTGTACGAGTCAGACTTGCACTTGTCCGATGTTTTTATTCAGGTATCACTACATTATTGTAAAAAAGCCTTCTGTATTTATATTTATTAATAGCTGATCTCAGAAACTGTCCGTATTTTTATATAGTTTTCACCAATAGTAAGGGAGATTATCTAGAAAGTTCATAGGCAACAGGCAAAAACAAGACATCTGCGAATTAAGTCAAGAAAAACCCTTCTGAAATCCGTAGTGAATAAGTGGGAAAAGCATTTAGGGTCGTGGTTACCAGTGACCATATGAAGAATGGTCTGAAATATATGAAAAGTACTTAGGTATATCTACATTATATTTTATTTTTAATGTTCCATACTAACATATAGTCACTTTTTCTATTATTAGGTAGTAAAACAATTAGAACTATTAATTGTGCCTTTGTTATGAAACAATTCAATAAAGTTAATTACACTGAACAAAATTGTCCTCTTCTCTCCATCGTTCCATGTAACTAGTCTGAAATGCCCTATTATCGTTGATAGCTATATTGCAAATTCCTAAAAGCAATCGAAATTTGGATCGAACATAAACTATGTAGGTAAATAATTTTGTTTAGAAGCCGTCCAATTTTAATTATTTCAAATCTCAATGGAAAACATATGAATGAATAAATGAATGTAATAAACTTTATTCAATTAGACTTATTAAAAGTACTTTTGAATCGTCAGTTTAATTTAAGCGTTATTGTTGTCAGTCCGTTAGGAAGCTACCATCGGCTCGCAAAGCACAAGAAATTCTTGAGCAAAGGAATACTTACGCTTTGCTCAATAAAATATTTTTTATTTTATCAACCGATTTCAAAAAAGGAGAAGGTTCTCAATTCGTCGGAATCTTCTTTTTATGTATGTTCACCGATTACTCGAAGACGCCTGAACCGATTTGGTTTTTTTTTGTTTCAAAGGGTACATTTCCCAGGTGGTTTCATTTAAATTTTCTCGAAATCGGTCGAGCTGTTTTCAAAAAATAAACAATGAAATATTTTTAAATAAATGGCTTAATCAAATATGTTATTAAAAAACTTTCTTCTCACAAATTACCTGCTTATATTTACGTCTACACTTAAAATGGAAAAATAAAAACTTTTTATAAAAAGCCGATACAAAACAAAGCACATCGACTTCGAAAATATCTGATTAAGTATCTATTTTAAATGAAACCCGCCGTTTAGTTATTTTTTACTTTTTAATGCCTGGAAGTCGGTTTGTATTTTTGTATCTATAAATTTTTGAAAAAGTAAATCTAGGACATTTTGTGGAATCTTATTATATATGAAGGATTTATTCACCTTTTGGAGTCGAAATCTGGGCGTAACAAGGTATTTCTATTTCTAGTGTTTATTGTGTGTCTATCACTGTTTTTACATGATTATTTAAATTTATGCGAAAAAGTAATATATTACACAATATATATTGAAACGCAACCGTAAGAATACTATTTGTTTTGTAAACATCTTTTAGAGAAAGATCTTATTCATAAATAGCCTGTACTGGTCTTTTTTGTAGAATAAATTTCCACGGCACTGCCCCAAAGAAGTCTTCCGTAAGATAAAATACTATGAAATTAACATATACAAGTCGGGCAGTGTTAATATCGGTTAGGTTTCCAACTTTTCTTACTACATAGGCGGCGAAGCTGAGTTTACCTGAAAGTGTTGAGAGATGGGGGTTCAACTGGAGCTTAGAGTTAGAGTTTGTTATGTTTAAAAATACTGCTGATTCAGGTATTTCTGTGTTTCATTATTCAGAATCAGACTAAATTTTATCTTTTTTACATTGTATTCAGCCCTTTTTAAAGTCCCACTGCTGGGCACGGGCCTCCCTTCAAAACGAGAGGGATCAGGCCATAGTCCACCACGCTGGCCAAGTGCGGGTTGGCGGACTTTTTTACATTAGGCAATATAAATTTGACACATTTCTTTTTTTATATGTAATACCTCAAAAAAGTTTTGATCGATGATTAATACTAACTTATTTAATGCAAACCAGCGAAGTATACGCGACAATGCACTGTTTACTAACTAAGCTTACTACGCTCAACTCTAAAATTAAGGCGGTATCATCAGCAATAAGTACAATATCACATAATTTCTTGGCGTAGGAAGGTAAATCATTAATATTTAATATATATTATGAATGAAAAAGGACCAAGAATATATCCATGTGGAACATCCATTTTTAAATAGAAGATCCTGTTTTACAGCGCAGCACCCTGAATGCCGTATTGATTCAATTTATGCAAAAGTGTGATGATGTCGCCAGACGTCGCGATCACTATGGCCCTCAGAATAATGTAAAGTTCTATAACGTGGATGGATTTTTTTCATTTTATTTAAAATTTTATTAAAATGACAAATTGTGCAGTGCCAGGATGCAAAGAAAATGGATATCATTTGTTCCCATAAGACAAACGTTAATGAAAATTGTGATCTAAAGCAATAAACATGACAAAAATTGGCGAAGTCACAAACTTTATATTTACGGCTATGTGGACATCGTTTTAAAGAAAGTCAATTTAAAACTCTTAAATCGTGTACAGGTGTATATTTTTAAATTTTTTGTACTTTTTTACATATTAATTACAGAGTTTTATACAATTTTCATCCCACATTTTACCTGGGATTTAATTTCGAGAAATGCTAAAACACGTACTTATTGTATTGAAGAGCATTAATACCAAGTTTCGAGTAATTCTGATTATAAATCATTCTTTGCCATATAAACTTTATTAGCCTTATATTCTTATTTTTTGTCTTAAACTTAAACACCACTTTCTGTGTTTTTCACATTAAGAATAACAGAGCTTCATATATTCTTTAATCTTCTATTTTACCCACTTAAGGGATGAATTTTGAAAAATCTTATCGGATGCCTACAAGGCTACATCGTATAAGGAATACGCCCTCCAAATTTCACGTTTCTACGACCAGTGGTTTAGGCTGTGTGTTGATCCACCAGTCAGCCAGGACCACTATAGGATGCACCTCTCCTTCTCAATTCTTTCTTCAGCTTTTCTAACTTCCAGATACAATACATTGTAAAGGTAAGATATGAACACAGTAGAAACAAATACCAGGTATAAAAGAGATATCACAATAAATTGCTTAACCTCAAACTGAATGTAAATAGGCAATACGTGTGGCGCCCTCCTTTCGAGAAATCTTGGGTAGTGACCACGGGAGAGAAATTTATGTTCCATGGACCATGGTATTAACACACCGAAAACAACTTAAACGTACATTAATCTGTAGAAATTAACAAAAAAAATCTCGTGTCTCTGGAATCTTTGGCCCCAAAGCAGTATTAAATAATACCTACATATTTTCTATGCCAAAAGCATTGTAGTGTCTATGTGGTGAGTGGTGACTGGTGTCAAATATCAATTGTCAAATTATTTATTCTATTGACGTTTGCGTTGATTATATTTTATACAAGCGTTCCTCGAAATTTCTATAAATTTTTAATTTCTAATAAAGTCAATAAATATATAGCAGTTAATATAATAATCTTAAGGACCTTATTTTTATTACTTACATATTTCGATTGTGATTTGAAGTGGTATGTTTTTAGCACATCATGGTGAACGTTACTAAAGGAGTTCTTGTGGAATGGTAATTTACGAGAGATTGTTAATTGTTATTGTATAATGTAATATATTACCAAAATTAATTTGTAATATATTTTCTATTACATTTGAGTCATTATAAAGCAAGTTAAACACACAAAATATAGTAAAAGTGACTTTTAAAGAAATCTCTTACAAATAACTTATGGAATACATAACCAATATTTTGAAATTATAAATAGCAAAAGAATTTTAAATAAAATTATAAAATTATAGGTATGTCTACACCTTAAATGTTTTCTTTATAAACTAATTTTAAACAATATTGAATAATATATAAAATAGTCATCGTCTTATTGTCAAAAATAGTAGAAGTTCAAAGTTTAAAATATTTGTTTATTTTTAAAATTATAAAGTATTTATTTGGGTATAGATGAAAATTGAAATGTACTTATAAACTGCTTTTAAAATGATAACAATTATTTCATAATCAAAAGCAAAAAAATATTTGTTTTAAGAAATTTTATTTGCTTATAATATTGATAATAATTTTCAGAATGATTTTTTTTTAAATTAATACATTAATTTTCTATATAATCCATATCAGGTGGTATGTTAAAGTTTTCATCAATCACCGCATTGTCCATTTGAAAAGTATTCTTTATGTATGATTTTAAAATATAAATATTTTCTGTCCACCTATTGGTTGCTGTTTTTAAATCCTAAAACAAATATAAAATTGTTCTATACCTTCTCGAAAATAATATTCTATTTTAAATATCTATACATATAAATAAAATTGAATTGGCTGTTGAAATAACAGCTTTTTACTAAATTTATACAAAATTATATATGGTACTTAGAAGAAACATTTTTTTTGTCTGTATGTCAGTTTGTTCCGGCTAATCTCCGAAAGGGCTGGACTGATTTTAACGAGACTCACTGGCAGATAGCTGATGTTATAAAAAATAACATATGTTACTTTCATTTTAGAAAAAGAATTAATATTAATTAGTTCTCAAGAAAATCAAAAGGTATAAGTAAGTGTTAAATATAAACTTACTTCAATTTCAGTTTTTAACTGTGCAATATATTCAGGATCTGAATCTCTATACTTTTGCACTTCTTTTTTTAATTCAGCCTCTTTCTTTGTTAATTGGTCTAATGTTGACAATAACTCACTTCTTTCTTGACTAACTTCTCTACCAATCTAAAAATTGATATTTTCTTTAATGTATTAAGATGTATTAGAATTTTATATTTTAAATAATTCCTCAAGTAACAACCCTAAGTTTTTGTCTTTGAAACTATACTTCACTTTCCAAAACAATTTTCCTTATTGAAATATTTTATAACAATATAGACATAACTTACAGACTCATTTTCTATAGACTCCTGCAACTTTTTAATTTTTTTTGTTGTATCTTCAAAATCTGATTTTAAATCTTGAAATTTTCTTTTTTTAGCATTTTTGGCTTTACTGTAAAAATTATATAACAGATTCTTTTTATTAACATTTTTTATTACATGTATGTGTAATGTATTTGTATTCAGCCCCATATATGTATGTATAATGTAATAATTAATCATATTGATAAATACCTTGGAAACGACCAGAAATATATTGATGTACCAATCTTCTCAGAATCAACTAGATGATCGTCAACTAGATTTTGTATTACTTCTTTAACAGATTGCATTGTTATTCCTTTCTCTTTTGGGGCTATTTTTTCCAATTCCTTTAAATTAAATTTTATTTTAAATGCTTTTATATTATTATATCTATACATAAATATATATACAGATAATAAAGAGGCCAAAAGTATAAAATTACCTTTAGTTGAAAAAAATCTTTACTCTTATGGAATATCTCCAACATTCTAGTTTTCTTCTCTTCTGCGCTTAACCCTCTCTTCTTAGACATTTTCGAAGTAAAACTTCTTTAGTCGTGACTGAGGGGTAAGTGAATACATTGGGAAAATGAGTGTCATGGAAATAATTAATAATTTAAAAAACAATATATTTATATTTTTGTAATAATTATTATTTATAAATATATATATATATATATATATATATATATATATATATATATATTAGTTATAAAAATGAATATTTGTTATTTTCTATTTTCAGTGATCCAGCTATGAAACAGTTCTTACTTCACTTGGACGAAACTAGAGCCCTTGGTGTTAAATTTATCATACAAGACCTAGACGAGACACATTTGTTTATTTCATCTGACATTATAACCACTCTCCAAGCCCGTGTGGATGATTTGATGGATCAGATGAGCTTTCCCATACATGATAAAGGATTGTAAATAAATATGACGTCACGTGAATCAGGGAGAGTTAAAGACGCGGAGAAAAGAAGAGTATTAGATGACGCGGCGAGAAAACGGAGAGCTAGGAAAGCCATTGAGGCACTGGAACAAGACAATTTTCATGAAGACCCACATGCCGATTTGGTTATGTCAAAAAAAGTTCCAAAATTTGCAGATTCTAATGAGAAACCTACTCGGAAAAAGAAATCGAAGAGTGCAGAGTATTATAAAATGAGGTTTAGGAAAACATTTGCACAGCTGGTTGAAGAAGATGTTAGTTTTAGACCAGAACCTCCTAACTACTTGTCAGCTCAAGCACCGCCATCTACGTAAGCTTTCTAAATTTCTATACTGTTACATAATTCATAACATAATGAAACATGACTATTACAAATGGTTAAATAACTACATTTTATACTTGAGCATTTCTTTTAAATACGAAAAGAAATAATAAACACAAACAAGAGATATGAAAATGTATTAAAATGAATATTATTAAATATCCAATCATATATTGTCCAATTCGTAAATTAATATTATATTCAAATGACCTAATATTTAAAAAAAAAAAATTTTATATTTCAGTTTTCCCGACCGCCACTTTTGTGCTGTATGTGGGTTTCCATCAAATTATACTTGCATTCCTTGCGGCGCCAGATATTGCTGTGTTAGATGTCTTGGAACACATTTAGATACAAGATGCTTAAAATGGACAGCTTAATACTCTTTAAATATTAGTGTCTCTATTAATCATTGAAATGGAAAAAATCTGAATATGTATATCATTTTAAGTTGTCATTTATAGCGACATCTAGTGGCGAATAGGAATAAGGATGATTCAATTTAATAACAATGCCCTCTTCTGTCCAGTAGTGGAAATATAGGGTTAAGATATTCTTTACTAGATGTCGTTAGTATCTGTAATAATTGTAATATTTAAATAAAAAAATAAATGAAATTCTTTTTATTATTTTAGTAATAAATAGTATTGGGTTTTAAAAACTAACAACTTGTACGTATGTAATAAAAGTTATACATATTGTTAGGTACACATTCTTTACTTGACATCACTATATATATCTTCCTACCGTCACATCCTAAATTCCCTCGATATTCCTTTACCTGGAGGTAGTACTCAAAAAAGCTTCAAAACGGCCGCGTACGGCGATGGGACGAGCTCCGCATTCTCCCCATCAAATTTAAGACTACGCGTCAAAGTTATCGTGCGAAACGCAATAAACTATCTTATTTTACAATTACAAACTAAGCAAATCACCCGGTGTTGTGTGAAAGTGATTGGTGTACAAAACGCGACTTAAGAACCCACGCGGGACAACGGCGAACCAGGTAGTCCATCCACCCTTTCTATCTTTACCCAACACATATTATTATAAGAATCAGTCGCACGAATCAAAGTACTACAACAATATATAAAATTAAAGTAAATTTTTTAAATAATATTTCGTTTTGTTGATGATTTTCATAATATTAGCTGGTGCGTGATCAGTTGGCATTACACGAAATCGAATATTATACCCTCGTTTAATTTAGTGAGGACGTTAGTACGATTGGACGCATTTGCGATAATTTAACATTTGTGACAACAGCTGTCTCCATATCGCTACCAATAAAGGGTAAAACTGTTTACAAACGAGAACAAATGGCTTGCAATCAGCTACTACAAATACAAATAGATCATAAAAACAATGTAAATATTTAACTTACTAACAATAATGACAATTGGCAGTAGTTTTTTTATACGTTTGAAATATTATTAAAAGAAGACAAGTTTCAAAAACTTCTGTAATCAATTATGTGTTTTGTGTAAAATTACGTTGAATAAAATTAAAATTTATTTTATTTACGCCGTATATAAGATTTTATAAGTATATCATGTTATGTTTTTATTATTAAAAATCGATATAATTATTTTTAATTATTATTATACTTAACGAATAAAATATATAAATGCAAAACTTACTAATTTATAAACACGATGCAAATGAAAATTTGAAAACAAATGACAACTTTCATAGCAGCCTTCCCGCCATGCGATTCTCTAGTCCCTTTTTAATATTCAGATAAGCCAAGGAATATTGACATACAGCCACGTGCCTTATCCACCCTAAGCAGCTGTGGTCATGACAGAGGTTATTGTGAACTAACAGATGCGAACTTCCTATTTAGGTAAATGTAGTTGTAAATAGGAAGTTGTGTTAAACAACTCCTTGTTTTGTCCCCTTAGTAAAAACTTTTTTAATATCATACGTTTTCCTTGTAACGGTCTACATTTATAATGGTGTAGACTAAGCATAGGTCATATCAGTACATCTGTACAGGTTTTACTTAAATTAAAATAAACGATGAGGTATGCACGCCGTTGGGCATTGTCACTTAATATAAAATATTATATAGACAAAAAGCAATGATTCACAATGCAGAATGCAATTATTTGACAAGATTGCCTGCAACCGTAAGAAAAAGCACGTCACATTAGAAAATGAAACAAGACTTGTCGAAGTATAAAAGTTACTTTAAGCTTTAAAAGTTCATCAACATCTTAATTATACGCATCATATTATATATGATAAAAATTAGTTTTACTTTAATTAGAGACTTGTCTAGATTATATTAGAGAATTGCCAAAATGTAATTTATAACAACCAATACAAATTACTTCCCAATACAAACTTTCATCCCTATTTTCACCCCCCTAAGGTAGAATTTCCGGGATAAAAAGGATCGTATGTCCTTCCCAGGGCCTCAAACTATTTTCTTATCATAAATCGGTTCAGTAGATCCAGAGATTGCCCCCTACAATGTCACAAACTTAACCTCTTTATAATATTATTATAACTAGATACACTAGCAGAACCCGCGGCTTCGCTCGCGCTAAAACTACAAAAAAATAAGTAGGTTTCATATAAACTTTCAACCCCTATTTTACCCTCTTATAAGATGAATTTTGAAAAATGCTAAAAACGTATTAATTTAATCATATTGAAGAGTATTATTACCAAGTTTCAATGAATAATTCTGATCATAAATATTTTTTTAGGCTGTATTATAACGCGTTTTCCCGTGAAAATGAGATAATATCCCGCGGTAAAAAGTCACGCCAATCGGTCACTCCGTTTCGACGTGAAAGAAGGACAAACAAACAAACACAGTATAATATTAGCATGGATTTTTCAAGATAGACTTAGGTCCCAATTAATTTGGTGTAAAGAAAATGTACCATTAAGTATATAAAATTGAATTAATATAGTATATTATACTACAACAGCTTCGAAACGAGTTCATTACTCTTATGAATGAGGACTAACCAAGATAAAAATAAAACAAAGAAATATTTTCGTAGTCTTCCGTTTATTTCTGTTCTGCGTTAATTTTTTAAACGTTGCAGCAAAATATAATTTATATTTCACTTTCAAAGTCAATTTACAATTTTCTTTATTTGTATTTTTTATAATGGAATGTCAACATTAATTTAGATTGAAATTTAATTTTATGTATTTTTACGCATGAGTTCTAATATTCTACAATTGACTTTAAAAAAGAAAAAATACTGTAAATGCCTATTATAGAACAGTGAAATGATTTCTAATATATTAGTTTCAACTCTACAACAGTCCATACTTTAACGATTTCACAGAAATATTATATCACATTATATTATTAAGGCATTCCAGTTACAGCGCTTCAAGAATCAATTATGCAAAAATTTGACTCTCATTTATTAATTACTGTCTTTTATGTATGAAGCATGTCAATTTTCACATTCATATTTCTTTTTACCAATTTTACAAACTTGAAAACAAAATTCACAGTTTAAAAATATATCTCTAATTTTGTTGGGCGCCATTTTTAATTACCTTAACACAAATATTTTGTCACATACAACCATTTAAAACCAACAGCATTACTGTACATTATCTACAAACTACTATTTACATAAAATACTTACATATTTATAAACTAAATATAATATACACTTCTGCCTTAAAATTACTGACTTGATTTGTAATAAATATAAAGTATTAAAGCCAAAATACACAATTTATACACTTTTAACAGCACTCTTTGTTAATACTGGGCTCAGGGAATGGTTAACATTGGTATTTTAGTCTATGGAACAAGCTATTTTAGTCTATGCCAAAATTATTCTGTGTCATACCACCCGAAAACGGAAATACGAGGAACAATATTTATGAACTGACAGATAAATCTGTCAAACGAGATTCGTACACAATTTCAATTTTTTTAACAAACGACCGATCCTAACTCTTAACCTACCGATTCTCAAAATAAATAATTAATTTACTACCCAATATTATTGTCGTTTTTGTACTTAATCGCGTAGGCTTTAAAGGACAGTATGTATGATAATCAATGGATTATATAATGCTGTCCTTCGTGGTGTGTTCAGGGATCATCTTTCTTTTTTCTTAATTTGCCTTCAGTGTGTATAGTTTGCGTGACTTTCTCCACAGCGTCTGTTATGTCCACGTCTGGTTCTATCGCCGCCGATAAAGCAGCGATATACGCGCACGCTATCCGCAAAACGGATAGTTTTGACAACTTCTGGTTATGACTATATGACGGGATAGATTTCCGAAGAGTGTCGAAAGCGGCACTTATTGTGTGAACTCTTGTCCGTTCTCTTGCGTTCGCTTCTATCCGCCTTTCCCTTGTCATGTTTTTGTAGTTTCTTTGCTCTCTAGGTTTTGATTTTTCTGAGAATGACTCCACTACTCCCGGATGAGGAGGTACGCGTGGAGGTCCAGGACTTACTTCCGGTATTGGTGTGATAGGTGGTGGTGGTTCTAACGGCCTTCGCCTTTGCCGTAATAGACTAGTTTCACTTTTCTTGACTAAGGATAGAGGTTCTTGTTGCGGTTCTTCTGCGAAAGACCACGGTCTGAAGGGACTAGTAGACGGTTCACTTTCTGGACTTTCTAGCTCTTCCCTAGAACTTGGGCGGATACGTTTTTTTGGTGGGCCGAGTCGCGTCGGTGTTCTCGCTCGTTTGACTCGCGAGTCGGACTCGATAAGTCTGACTCCGGAGTCATCGGAATGCGCGGGTCCCGAACATGAGTCGTCATCTTCACCGCCAGACACGAAGCCTGCGTCGCGTTCTATGATACGATCTGTAACAAATAGAGAATATTGTTAGTACTTACACGTACTGAATTATTCCTGAGAAAAGTAAGTTAAAATATAAAAGATTTTACGCTGTTAAATATATATGAGAACGTGTGAATTTCCAACAGGCGGTCGTGAATCGGCGCCTTCCTATCGCCGGAGGAAACAAAAAGACAACAGATAAACGTTCAAACGACGCCGCTCGTTATAGGACGCGGACGCAACTCGCCTACTTAATGTGTAGTGGTGGTCATGAATCTGACGATTTAGAAAGATACTGTTTAGTGTTTAGGGCAAAAGTATAACATATAAATTACAAATATTAAAATTTCAAATACGTTGTAATATGATTAAAAGAACACTTATAAATATTTAGATATAGATATTTGTGATAATGTGTACTTAATAAATAATATTAAAGAAAAAAAATATTCGGTAAGAGCTAGATATCGTAAGATATCATATCACTCTAATATTATTTATGTAAATTTACAAAAAAATATCAACCACGAACAAATTACATATTATCTTTTAATTAAAATGTCATATAAATTAAATTTGAACCGAGTTTTAATAAAATTACCCATCTCCGCTCGTTTCGTGTCCGCACTCAATACTCACATCCTCTAGCAACAATGGATGCTTAAAGGTTATGTGCTGCGCGTATCAGCAGCAATAGACAACAATTAAATACTCTTACGTGATCGAAAACTGTCTCTTTAAATTCCATTAGGTATAGCTATATAATTGAGCAATAAATTTAAAATGAAAGATATATATTTTTCCCTCGCGCTAAGACTATAAAAAAACTCTAAAAAAGTAGGTTTCATAAAATTTCATCCCTAATTTTATCCCCTTATAGGATGAATTTCGAGTGCTCATATACATATTTATTTAATTGTATTGAAGACTACCAAGTTTCATGTAATTCCGATCATAAATATTTTTTTGAATTGTATTATGACGTATTTTCCCATGGGAATAAGATGATCTCCAGCGATAAAAAGTAGCCTATGACACTCTCCAGCCTTCCAACTATCTTCACACAAAAATTCATGCCAATCCGTCAAAAAAAGGACAAACAAACAAACAAACAAACAAACAAACAAACACACTTTCACATTTAAAATATTAGTATGGATTATACTCTTAAACCACATGATATAATTTAAGAAAAAAGAAGAAAATCTGTTTTAAAAAAATACATAATAAAATCATTGCTATGTAAATATATAATTAAATATTTACAGAACTACAGCTACGATCTACTTTATATGTATGTAATATACAATAATGTTATGGTTTATAATATTGGATATCATTTTAATTTGTCTCCTGCAGCGCTGAATTATTCTAAACGTTTAAGATCTCATTCTTATATAATAACTAATTTGAAAGTTGTTTGTAGGCAAATACGCGGAAAAATTCCTAAGCTTTATATTATACAAAATACATATTGAACACATCAAGCAATAGTATTAAATTACAAGGCGCCAAAAGATATTCCGGTTCGTGAAAACCACAGACAACACGAGCCAACATAAAAAATGGCACGCTTGTTATAGAAACCTCTGAATAAATAAAGCTGGCCAAATATAATGACCAAATTCCTATCGAACATAATTAAAAATAAGTAAATAATCTGTGAATTTGTGTTTACATTAAGTTACTTGTACAATACATGCCAAGTTGCTGCATTGAATTATATAGGAAGTCACTAGCGACTAAACCTCGCTCCGCTCGTGTTTGCACCTCGTTACTTTTTAGCTTTTAGAATAGATTTCTAAGAGATGAGATATTTTCCCTCGGTAAAAAGTGTCCTTATGTTGGCCCGGTAAACCAACTATCATCATAACAAATTTCATCAAAATCTGTCCAGTGGTTTTCTCGTGATGCGGTCACAGACAGACAAACATTTTAAAAACTATAGATTCGGCCTCTGTATCGATAATAATGAATATTTCAATAAGATTTTACAATAAATATTTTAAATACAAGTACATATTCGACTCACAATTTTATTATATGTATATACAAATTATTTATTATATAACACTTCGGTTAACAGAAAGCTAGCATCAGAAAGTGTAAAATTTCTAAATCGCTAGACTAAGAAATTTAGTTCCACATTTTAATAATCTAGATAAAATATAATTTACTATATATATGTAAATTATATCAGTACTTGGTTCAGAGAAAATAAATTCATTATTAAGATTACATAACAATGTCTTAATACATTTGTGGTTAAATGTTAAGTTTGCAATAATTTCTCATTAATTCAAACATTTTTATAACGCGGACGAAGCTTAGCGCCGGCGCCATGACGTCACGCTATACATGAGATGGGTTTAAAGTTGCCGTACTTGAATGCGAGGCTAGGAATGCTGTTATTTATTTTATTTTTTTAATAAATATGTATTGTTTCTTGCTGTTTTTTTTCTTGGGTATAAAAAAAATATTATTTTATGTAACAATTCTTTGCTCTTTTTGAAATTAATTAACTTTAAGTTAAAAATCAAAAGGATATTTTTTTATCTAGGTACCTAGTATATTATATAATTTAATATTTTTGAATATAAGATAATATTCTTTCTTTGACTGTATCTACTATCTAGTGCTTTTATAGTTTCGTATGTGCTAGTTCAAAATTTAATTCTACATTTTAAATTTTTAATGAATTAATATAAAATGGTAATTTCATTAGAATAATTAAACAATCATTTTCCGTATCCACGTTGAATCTATCTAATAAATAATATTTAATCAATTATATCAAGACAAATATTATATATTTACAAGCTAATTTTGGAGAAATTATTTACATAAAATTCTGCTGATAAATCTCATACTTGTGCAATGTAATGAAGTGTACAGGTTTGATTCCCAACCGGTTCGGCATATGGCGCGTCTTTGTTATTTATTAATATTTTACTTCTAGAACAAGAGCTTGTCCGCATTCCACAGCTTTTTGTTGCCATAGAGATAATTGGTTAATTCGGGTTTTTTACATGTGTAATCTCACAATATAATCAGTTGGCATGCAGTTAAAAATTCAAATATATAATCATAAGTTATTATAATATAAATATATCCAAATCTAATTTAAACGTCACTTTTTATAATTTTTCATAATATGTGCAATAAACATGCTATTTCGTTTAACATAATTCAAATCATATTTGTACAAAATAAAGTTTCTAATATAAAAATGGTGATCTCAGTAAAACAATGTCAGTGTTACCAGTAAATATCTAGAAATAACCGATGTAAAATGTCCTCTGAATAAAGATGCGGTCGACCCCAACGGTAGTTGACAGTACGCTGTATAATACAGTAACAAGGATACGGTGCCGGATATAAAAACAATGTTTGAATAGTATTAATAAAGCTAATTTCACTTCCTTTTACAGTCTAATTGACTGTCGCCCGGAAACGCCTTTAATATGCTCATGTATTTTTTAATAACCTAACCTACAAGTTTTAACGTCTGTCAATTTTTTTTTACCTCCAACCAGTTACTTCGGTAACTTCATATTAATATAAATTCGTAATAAAAAAAGCAAATTATATTATTATTTATTTTAAAGTAACTGTAATTTAAAAAAACAATGACAGTTGAAATAGTCACAAAAAAATCATATCTCAATTTCCGTTACTAAATGAGAGGACGGAATGAAATAATAAAATAATAATTTTACTTACATATGAATTATAAATAATTAATAAAAAAACAGTGAAATCATGCGATTAATCTATACGAATATAAAATATTATAAAGAGGAAGATTTTGTTTGTTTATTTGAACGCGCCAATCTCAGAAACTACTAATCCGATTTAAAAAAAAACTTTTTGCATTAGATAGCCCGTTTATTGAGGAAGGCTATAGGCTATATATCATCATGCTATTATCCAAGGGAACGGAGCAGTATGAGCAAATGTCAAAAAAAAACAAAGTTTTAGCGCGAGCGAAGCCTCAGGTTCTGCTAGTACAATATAAATCGTAAGTCCGTAAGAGTTGAGCTACCGGAATTGGTTTATAGCTCATAATCGAGCGAACGTGGCGCCGCGAAGGCGTTCCAATTAGGCAAGCATAACATAAAACACTAAAACTAATTTACACGCAAATTTATATCTTATTACAATTGGATAAGATATGTATATTTATAACACGATCTTCAAAATAATGTTGCCGAGTCTCGACTTCACGTTCCTTCTCACACTACAGGTGTTTTTTTTCTCTGTTCAATAGAACACCGTTCTGACTCCGCCTACGTTCGATTGAGGTTTTAATTGCGTTAAAATATATTTCACCATTTCCTAACACTGATACTAATATACGTCTTTATAATTAATTCTATTAGTGCTAATAAACAGCTTTAATTTATGTATTTTAATGAAGGTTCAAGTTCAAGCCTTTTAAGGTAGAAAGGGAAAGACGATACCCCACGGCCCACACTTTCTTCAATTAGGTCATTTTCATTTATATTAGATAGTTCTACTTTTTTCCCAGACAGGAATCACAAACAAGTAAATTAAGCGTGTAAGCGGTTTTGCCGCCACTAAGCCGGGCGGTCAATTTAATTTTCTACTAAAATGATTACTTTACGAACGTAATAAAAAGTTTAATTCGAAAAGATTAATGACTGTCTAACAGAAATCCGGGTCTGTAATATATCACGGGTTGTTGCCTACAATAAAATAGGACTACGTTGCTCATTACGTCGATTCACGTTAACGTGTTAAAACAAAGAGTATACTGGAATCAGGAATGCGATTATCAACCTTAAATAATATAACATAAGGAACCTTTTTGAGTTAAATTATCCTGAAAGGATTCAAAAGAGCCGGCGCTATGGGCCTCTCAAAAGGTTGAATGGTGTCGATCTTACCACTAGATAAAACCTCAAGCTTAAAGGGTGATACCAATCTGGCGCCAAATTTCACAGAAACAAAACGTGTCCTTAAAAAAAGTAGCCTATTCAAACAAGGCTCTCGCCTTCCA